TGCTCAGCAATGGTTGGTATCTAATGTCAGTTAGTCAAATGTTTATCTTACTATATAGTATCTAGTATACTTTTCTATGCATAAAAAATATTAAAGAAACACTTCCAGATACACTAAAGAATGTTTAACATAATATAGTAATAATAATAATGTTTTGATGCACATTACAAAGTAGTACTCATTTGTTGTTATGAACTATTTTATGTACCTCGAATTTTTACTGTAATAGACTTTACGGGAATTGGTCTGTAACTACAGATACACAGAAGTAGGATGTAGGACATTTGTAACCTGGGGACTGTTTGTATAAAATTTGGGTAAATAATAGGCTTGACTAATTAGTGGATGCCTTGATTTTTCTAAATGAGAATCTAGTTTTATTTTTAACATTAAGCATAGGAGCTGCTTATCATCAAACTTGTTCAGAAAGATTTATGTTGTCTATTAGGTTGCCCCATCTCATGTATGAAGCAGATTTGGCTGTTGTTTAATAAGTTTAAAGTTTAATACGTTTAATAAGTTCCTGTATTTTTTGGTTGTCCTTATACTTTACAACAACAGAAAAAAAATACTACATTAATTATACCTTTAAAAAAACTGCTTACAGTGTAACCTACAGGATATTGCAAAGGGTTAACAACAAAGTAATGTGAAAATATTATAATCTAAAAAATTTTGTTAACATTGTAATTGTTTTATTTTGATGATGTGCCTTTGATTTCATTTGAGACACTTTTAAAAGGGAACCCTGTCTTTGTGATAATCTTTGAAGAGCTTGGAAATAAAATTTCTGCTTAATTCATAATTTTTATGTCAGGAAAATCTTGTGTCTGATTTTTTGTCTTAAGGCTCCATGGATTGTTTGCTTATGAGATTGAGTGCTTACAGGAGAAGGTGAAATTTTTGTTCTTGTAGAATTTTGTAAACATCTTGAAAAATAGATATATGTGTAACATATCTAAATATCTCAATTACTGGCAACATACAGTCTTTGAAATACTTGTTTTTTTGTTGTGTGCAGTTGAGTCGATTCTGACTCACAGCAGTCCTGTAGGGCAGAGTAGAACTGCCCCGTTGAGTTTCCTAGGCTGTAATCTTGATGGCCACCATTTGTCTGTCATTTTGTCATACTGTGATGACTTGCATGTTGCTTCATGCTGGAAGCTATACCACAAGTATTTAAAATACCAGCAGGATCATCCATGGTGGACAAGTTTTAGTGGAACTTCCAGACCAAGACAGGCTAAATTGATTAGCCTCTGATTGCAAGGCTTTCAGAATATGACTGGGGAAGAGCTGCCTCCTCAAAGTAGTCAACCTTAATGATATGGATGGAGTAAAGCTTTTGGAACCCTCATTTGCTGATGTGGCATGACTCAAGAAGGAACAGCTGCAAACATCCGTTAATAATCTTGGAATGTGGAGTGTATGATGTATGAATGTAGGAAAACTGGAAGTCATCAAAAATGAAATGGTACACATTAAGATTGATATTCTAGGCCCAAATGGACTGGGACTGGCCATTTTGAATCGGACAACCAAATGGTCTACTATACAAAAGAGGAATGGCATTACATTCATTGTCAAAAAGAACATTAAGATCTATCCTGAAACATAGTACTGTCCGTAATAGGATAATATCTATACACCTACAAGGAAGACCAGTTATTACAATTATTCAAATATATGCAGCAACCACTAAACCAAAGATGAAGAAATGAAAGATTTTTACCAACTTCTGCAGTCTGAAATTGACCAAACACGCAGTCAAGATGAATTGATAATTAGTGATTTCTGGGACACAAAAGTTGGAAACAAAGGATCGGTAGTTGAAGAATATGGTGTTGGTGATAGAAATGATGCTTGTGATCTCGTGTGATAGAAGTTTGCAAAACTAACAATTTGCTCACTGCAGATAGCTTTTTTCAACAACATAAAATGACAACTATATATGTAGGCCTCACCAGATGGAATGCACAGAAAATCAAACTGACTACATCTATAGAAATAGATGATGGACAAGCTCAATATCATCAGTCAGAACAAGGTCAGGGACTGAATGTGGAACAGACTCTCAATTGCTCATATGTAAGTTCAAGTTGAAGCTGAAGAAAATTAAAATAAGTCCACAGGAGTCAAAGAACAACCTTAAATATATCCTACCTAAATTTAGAAACCAACTCATTAACAGATTTGACACAATGAACATTAATGACTGAAGACCAGATGAGCTGTGGGATGACATCAAAGATATCGTACGTGAAGAAAACAAAGGTCATTAAAAAGACAGGAAAGAAAGAACACACTAAAATTAGCATGTCAGTAGAGACTCTGAAAATTGCTGTCGAACATAGAGTAGCCACAGCCAGTGGAAGAAATGATGACATAAAAGAGCTGAACAAAAGATTTCATAGGGCAGCCTGAGAAGACAAAGTGTTATGATGAAATTGCCAAGATCTGGAGTTAGAAAACCACAAGGGAAGAACACAGTTGGCATTTCCCAAGCTAAAAGAACTGAAGAAAGAATTCAAGCCTCAAGTTACAATACTGAAGGATCCTGTGGGCAAGATATTGAATGACTCAGGATGCATTAAAAAAAGATGGAAGGAATATACAGAATCACTAACCAAAAAGAATTGGTTGACAGTCAACCATTTCAGGAAGTATGTGATAATAACTGATGGTATTGAAGGAAACAGTCCAAACTGCACTGAATCATTAGCGAAAAACAAGCGTCCAGGAGTTGACAGAATACCAGTTGAGATGTTTCAGCAAATCAGTGCAATGCTGAAAGTGCTCACTCATCTATGCCAAGAATATTGAGTGTACCTTGGACTGCCAGAAAAATGAACACATCTGTATTGGAAGAAGTATAGACAGAATGCTTCTTGGAAGCAAGGATGGTGAAATTTCATCTCATATACTTTGGACATGTTATCAGGAGGGATCAGTCTCTGGAGAATGACATCATGTTTGGTAAAACAGGATCAGTGAAAAAGAGGAAGCCCCTCAATGAGATGGACTGGCACAAGGCTGCAACAGTGGGCTCAAGCATAGCAATGACTGTGAGGATGGTGCAGGACCAGGCAGTGTTTCATTCTGTCGTACACAGGGTCGTCAGGAGTCAGAGCCAACTTGACAGGACCTGATACAACACTCTTTACAGGCACAGCCTGTAAAGATTATGCACCAGGTCGATTATGCCACCCTTTACAGTTAGTAGCCAACCACTAGCCATTGAGCCAGTAGGGCTCCTTCCCTTTGAAACCAAAACAGTGATACATAAATCCATAAAAAAACAAAAACACCTTGGAACATAAAACCAAAACCAAACCAAACTCACTGCTGTCCAGTCAATTCCGACTCATAGAGACCCCCTTTTGGGTTTCTGAGGTGGTAAATCTTTACAGAAGTAGATTTTCCAGTCTTTCTTCTGCAGAGTGGCTGGTGGGTTTGAACCACCTACCCTGTGGTTAGCAGTCAAATGCCTTAGGCACTACACCACCAGAGCTCCTTCTTTGAACATAAGTAGTGTTACAATAACAGAAAAAATACAAGCCATTAGACTGGAACTCTTTTAATTTCCAGCCACTAAACTTCCAAATATAAATGATCTGATTTCCTTCTATTTGATTTCAGTTTCAGTCTATCAGATTAGCAAAATATAAAATAATGACGATGAACCAATATCTCACATTAGATATGAAAATTAAAATAGATGAACAATCTAAATATAAGAACAAAAGCTATAAAACAGAAGAAAACACAGGAGTAAAACTTTAAGACCTTGTTGTGGATAATGGATTCTTTGACATGATATCAAAAGCATGAACAACAAAAGAAAAATAGATAAATTAGATTTCATCGAAATAGATACTTTCTGTGCATCAAAGGACTTTATCAAGAAAGTGAAAGGATAACTGACAGAATTGGAGGAAATATTTGGGAACTATATATCTGATAACGGTTTAATATTCAGAATATATAAAGAACTATAACTCAACAGCAAAATGATAATCACATTCTGGTTTACCTATTGTCACATGTTGTTTATATATTCTTGTATAATTGAATATTTCTTTAGGATAGCTTCCTAGATATGTTAACTGTTAGACTGAAAGATATGTACATTTTGTATTTTGGCAGATGCTATACAAACTGTCTTCTAAAAAAGTTGTACCAACAATATAAGAGAGTGCCCTTTTCTCCAACATGCCAACACTAGATATTAATTTAAAAAAATTTTTATAACTCAGTAGATGAAAACACAGTAATTTATTGTTTTAATTTGTAAAAGTAATGTAGCTGAATATTATTTCAAATGTTTACTGGCTACTTTTTGTTTCTTCTATGAAATATGTCTATTCATATATTTTGCCCATTTTTCTGTTAGGTCCTCTCTTTTCCTAGCCATTTATAGGGACTTTTTCGTGTTTTAGGAAACTAAACCCTTTACTATTATGTAGGTTGCAAATAATTTATCTTTTGTTTATGAAAGACAGTGCTATATATTGGAAGTTCTCTAACTTCAGTTTCACCCTGGGTTTTAATTTCCTTGGTGTTGGATGGGTGACTGGTCATCCTCACTTCTTGCCTCAAAAGATCAGACTGATGTGATGGAGGCTAACTTAAAAGGCTTGTGATATTTAGGTGAATCTGGAAGACATTTTGAATCTCATGACAATTTCACTAAGAGGTAAATTAGAATATTTTACTTAGAATAATGTAAACTCTGGAGCACAATACATATGAAAATTTAATACAGAACACTGAGAAGATCTAAGAATATCCTATTTTTAATGCAAATAACACACATAGTATACAGTTGTTTGCAAACTGTGCAACCCCTCCCCTCATGTGTTATTTTTCTATGTGTCCTATACACATTATATGCAAAAAATACAGTAATTGCATTTTCTTTCATGTATGAGAAAATCTAAATAATTGTTACCAAGTTGCCATCAATTTAGTAGAATATGGCATGTAGCACTGGTCTTCTTTCAAAAAAACTTCAGACGAGTTTGTCCATCAGCTCTACCAGGGACTTTTTCATACATTAGACGTCGTTTTTTGACTTGTGGTTGTTTTGAGTACATGAAACCTGTTAAAGAACAGAAAGGAAAATTACTGTATTGCTGATAATGATAAAGGATACCTATTTTATCTTTTTCATCGATTGATATAGATCATATCTCTTAGTTACCTGTCTGCAAAGTGTTAACATTTCTAAACTGGGATAAAGTGATGACTATTTAAATATCATCACGTTGTCAGAAGGGCCCATTCCCTGAGAAGGATACCATGCTTGGTAAAGTAGAGGGTAAGTGAAAAAGGGGAAGACCCTCAGTGAGAGGACTGACACAGTGGCTGCAATGATGGGCTCAAGCACAGCAAGGATTGTGAGGATGGCGCAGGACTGGGCAGCGCTTCGTTCCATTGTACACAGGGTTGCTATGAGCCAGAGCCGACTTGATGGCACCTAACAACAACATTTAAATATTCGTTACCATGTTTTTTGACATTAATGTACACATACCTAATGGACCAAAAAACAACTTGTTAAGTACACATTTTATAGCTATATCTGTCTGCATTTCAATTTTCTGTGAAATGAACAAGTTATACTAAGATACCATCCAGTTATAATATTTTGGAGTAAAACAATCCAAAATGTATTGGAAAGCAACTTAGGGCTTCCTGGTTCCTGAAGGTTTCTGGTAAGCAGCCATTAATTAAGATGTAAGTTAGCTTACCCTGGGTTATTCTGAGCATAAAGCAAAGACACATTGCCTGGTCTCTCTGTACGGTAGGAAGAAACTTGTTTCTATCTGTGTGGTGAGAATGCATTTCTGTTTGTTCCCTTCCCTCTTTCCATCTCTTCCTTTTTCCTTCCTCTCTCTCTCACTCATCTTCTTTCCCTTCCTGACTCTCTGCTTCTAAGTCTGCCCTCCCTATTCCTTTTCTGTAGCTTCCTATCACTTGGCTTTGGCTAGTCTTGGTCTCATCAGCATATACCCTCTTATCTGTGGGAGATTATGTTCATCAAAGATATACTTCTTTTTAGTGAGGGGTTATCTATTAAAAAATCTATCTGCAAATTCATGTCCGGGAATTAGATCTTGTACTACAATTTAGGAGTATGATTATGCACATGAATAAATGGATAAAATTCAAGAAATGATGATAGGACCCTAGTCCCTCCTTGTGAAGCCATGGGAAGGCTGGACTGGCACCAGTAGTGTGCTAGTAAGTGTTTAACCACCAGATCTCTGAGAGTCAGTTGGGAAGGTCTCATTTATACCATTTGCCAATTTCTGTGGCATAAAGACTCCTGCCATAGCCAATTCAAACTACTGACATGATAGCAACTATTTTTTTTTTTCTTGGTAATAATCTCCCATAGCCAATTCTAAAAATTCTTACTTTTTTAAAAATGTATCTGCCAGGAAGCAATTCCCATGAAATGAATTTATCCTTTGTACCTAATACTTAGTAATTTCTACTTACTAGGAATGGTATCCATATATTACTCAATTATAAAAACCAAAAAAACCAAACTCACTGCCATTGAATCAGATCCAACTCATAGTGACCCCGTCTTGGGTTTCTGAGGCGGTATCACTACAGAAGTAGGTTGCCCAATCTTCCTTCCAACTCAATTATAAAGTACCCACAAATCCCAAGTTAACTAACACAAAGTGTGTCAAGTAGATTCACAGATGAAATCACTCTAGACTAGGCATCTAGAGATGGTCACCCTGAGGGAAAGGCAATATACCAAAAGTGAATGACCAGCACAATAATACTAAGGAAGAGGAAGGCATGGACAGGTGCACAAGAGGTACAGACAACAAAGGTAAACACACACACACAATACTGAATTATCAGTAATAACATTAATCTACGGGTGGGTACATAGGTAGACAGGTAAAATGATTAGGTACAGGTAGGCAAAAGAGAATATACCCATGACCATATATAAGTCTGGCAGACGATATTTCTACATATGCATTTGTATGAGCTATAAGAACGTCCGAATAATAGATATAATAGAGCTAATAAGAGGCAAAGTTACGATAACTTCTTAGCCACAGCCAAACACTTTGAGGGAGTGAGTCGCCAAGCCCAAGGGCTCAGGACCATGGTCACAGATGACATCAAGCTCAACTGGCATAATACGCTACACAAAAACACTGTTCTATATATCCTCTTTTGGTGAATAGTGACTGGGGTCTTAAAAGCTTGCAAGCAGCCACCTAAGATGCAACAATTGGTCTCTCCTCGTGTAGAGCAAGGAAAAGTGAAGGAAATCAAAGGCACATGGAAACAATTAGTTGAAGGGATTTGTGGACCCAGGGAACTTCAGCCAACATGACCCTGAAACCAGAATTAGATGGTGCCTGACTACCAATGCCAACCACTCAGCAAGGGATCAAAATTGGAGATCCTGGATACAGTGGGAGAAAAATGTGGAAAAGAACTCAACATCATAAGAAAGACTAGACTTACAGGTCTGATGGAGATTGGTGAAATCCCTGAGACTATGGTCCCTAGTCACCCTCAGGCCTGGAAATGAACCCACTCCCTTGGCTTAACTTTAAGTCAAACAATAGACAGGCCTATGAGGTGAAAAATTACACTAGGTGGGTATACTCCTTGAAACAATCAACCATGGGAGATCAGAAAGGCAGCATTTGCACAGGAAGAATGCTCTGAGGGCAGGAGTGCTTAGGAAAAAAGGACACAGGGAAAAGGTAACCACAGGGAGAAAGTGGGAAGAAAGCTGTTTGATTGTGGGGATTGCAATCAGTGTACACAAAATGTACATGTACTATGGAATGGAAAATGAATTTGCTCTGTAAAATTTCAACCAAATCACAATAAAAAGCTAAAACTAAAAATGAGAGAGAGAGGTCACCCACCCTGAACTGGGGCAATGAGTAATGCCCATTGGCCACAGGGGGCCTTCTATTTACCTTTAATTACCTTTATTGGGAGCTCTGGTAGCATAGTGGTTAAGACACTTGCCTGCTAACCAGACGGCTGGCGGTTCAAACCCACCAGCCACTCCTCGGAAGGAAGGTTGGGCAATCCTACTTCCGTAGTGATACTGCCTCGGAAACCCAAGGAGGGGTCGCTATGAGTCGGGGCTGACTCGACGGCACATAACAACAACAACAACAACCTTTATTACCTCTTTTCCCTCCTCACTCTCTGTACATGCTATAAAGCATGTAGACACAGCTGCCTGCCAATATAGCAATGCCGGGAGAGAGGCTTTGGTGTTCTTCTCCCATGGCATGATATGGGATATGCATGGATGGACTCAATGTAAGATTACACCCTGGGGTGGGAACCTAACCATGAGGAAACTTGGCTGATGAAGATGTTTGGTGTTCCCCTCATCCCTGTCCTGTTTATTCTAAATGCCTGTTGACCATGCCATTTAGAACAGAATCTGGTCTATGCTCTGTTTAATCTTCTTTGACTTTAGCCTCTGCTTTACTTAGATCTGTGCTGTATTTTTATTCTTAATTTATTAAGCTGAATACTTAGCTCATTTATAGTTATGAGGATTTAATATGTTACTGTTTTTTTTCACAAATAACATACCTATACGTAGAACAAGTGGAAATGATGGAACTAAAACAGCTCTGGAATAGTGCATGAATTATGTGCATACAAACACTGTGTAATTTCTTTGCATTTATTTCTTTAAAAGTCTATAATTAGAGTTTTTATTTCCTCTTTGATCCAAAAATTATTCATGAGAGTTTTTAAATTAAAACAAATTTTTAAAATTTGAAGATGGTTCTTTTTAAATTAAAGAGTATTTTCAGCAACTATTGGATAGTGTTACCTGTTAATGGTTGCTTATCTCCTTCATTAGATGAAGATTCAGTGTACCTTTTCTGTTCTAAACATTTTCCAGCTCTTTGGTAGACATACGGGCAGTCAAATTCCTTTTGATTTATATTAGAATCAGAAGAATAACATAAATCCAAATTGGGAGCAGATGGCAATTCTCTCCAGAAGGTCTTTTTAGTCCCAGCATTTGAACTTTCATATGGGAAGTCTTCTAACTGATCCGACAGACATTTTTGCTGATTAGTGAATAAATTACCTTTCTGAGAGTACCGTTTGTCAAATGCGCCATATTGTAAGTTGGATGAGTAATTCTGTCCCCATACATTTTTCTTAAAGTTCCAATGAAGAGGAGATTTAGAGCCCTCTAGGGAAAATACAGGGGAAGATATTTCTTCATTTATGCATCCTATTGCTTCATGTGTTCCCTTGATCTGGTCATTTATAAAATTAGGGGCAACTCCCTTATGAGTTGGTGATATTCTGGTTTCACAATTCATTTCACAATTCATTTGCGTTAGACCCAAACCAAAGACTTCTGACTCTGAATCATTCTGGTTTAGAAAGGAATGGCAAGTTGCTTTCCTTGATTCTGTGTTAATTAGAAAAGGATTATTTGGTACAAGGTTTCGTTTACAACTAGAGTCTTTCCAGTAGCTGGTCTGACTGTAAGAATCCACATGTGGTAAAATGTGTGGCATTTCTCTTGATCCCATAAGGGAAGAGTTGAAATTAGAAATGGTATTTGTGTCTTCCTGCACTGTTTCTAAGTCTGAATACTGGTAAGATTCATTGTGTTCTTGAATGATAGAGTCTGAAGAACCAGAAGCCGAACTCTGAGAAGTAAAGGTACTAATCCGATTTCTCTTTTCCTGAGGTAATGAAATTTGAGGTGATTTTGTTACGGAAGAAGAATCAATCTGGAATAAGGAAGTGATGCCACAAAAATGCTAAAAATAATAACAATAATTAATAAATACAATATAATAACACAAACACCAGCCAGTAAATATAAATTATGATGCTTATATATATGGAAGGAAAGTAAATATAAACAGTCTATTGAGGTATATAATCTCAATGAGGTCGTCCATATATAGATATTACATTGTTTCATATAATAAGAGCAAAAATAATTAGGCTCAGTGAAAAGAAAAACTTAGAATTTACATTTTTTATCACTTGTAATAGAATTTTTAATTACACAGTTATACATGAATACTGTTTCCTCTGTAAAATTATTTTTGTATTAATATGGCCAAAGTCTCCTTTACTACTCTAACTGAAAGGCATAAACACTGGAAGAGCAGTGCTATGCATGTGAATAGGGTTACAACTGGAGCTCTGTGAGCACAATACCATTTCAAAATGATTCAAAGTTTGATAAACTATGTTGAATTATCAATATAAAGATAGTTTAAAAATGTAGAATGTGATTAACAGTACTCTAGAATTTTACATGAAATTTAGTTCAAGTGAATTATTTATTTGCTCTGTGAAGTCCAAAACAATTAGATACCTTTATTTTGAAAACACTTATGGCAAAAAGGGATACTTAAGTGGAAAGAATATAACTTTATATATGAATATGGATTACAAATAACTAACCTTTAACACTTTTTCTGAAACTTCAGGTAGGAGATCCTGAAGTTGACAAAGAGTTGCTGTTAATATCCAGTGAAACGAGGGTCCTTTATTTAACATGAGCTGAGCTACCAATGGATTAATACATGGAAAATCAAGTAAGTACATTTCTTCCTAGGAAAGAGTTTAAGGAATCAGGTCAGTGGTCTTTTGAAAGTGACCCACTTTATTTTACTCATTTTAGCAGATTAAAATTTTTGCCATTATACCTACCACTGTGTTTGGGACATCTAGAAAGAAAATGTGGCCAGGAGGGAAAGAAATTTGTTTAAGCAGTATAGATTCATATACTCTCAGAATTGGGAAGGACCTTAAGTTCATTCAGTCTAATCCACCATCTCAAATGATTTGTTTCAATTCAATTCCTTCAACTGATGATAGTTGTTTTATTTAATGATACATCTTCTAATGAGAAAACTTTTGGGGAGGGGGCTGTTATGTATGTCAAGATTTCTTTAGCTTTGTAGACTATATACTTTCACTGTTTGACTAAGATGAACCTTGTTCATAATATATAAGAAATGTTAGAATTCCAGAAAAACTTTGCTGTGAAGAGTTTAGGAAGAACTACTTACTATCAAGCAGAACTGATCCTGGCCATCTAAAAATGGATGTTTTCAGAGAGAACTCATAAAATTCTAGATATATAGCAGCTGTCTTTACTGCTACCACATTCTGATTTTTTTCTGTGTACCACTGACTTTCTGAATGCTCTTTGATTTGCTCAAATGCCAGACATGTAAGTAGACTGGACTTGCCAGGAAACTGGACACAAATACACATGTAATAGTAAATTATACCCATACCTGCTGACAATACTGTGTTTTGTTTAGGCAGATCAAAGTTCTGTGGTTTAATATCTATGGTTATTTTTTAAATTTATTTTATAATTTTATTTATTTTTATATGTATAATTTTATAAATTTATAATTTATTTTTTGAATCTGTAAAATAGGGGTTGCTAAGAATTTACAACAAAAAAAACAAACTCACTGCTGTCGAACAGGATCCAACTCACAGCAACCCCCCTTGGGGTTTCTGAGGCGGTATCACTACAGAAGTAGACTGCCCAACCTTCCTTCTGAGGAGTGGCTGGTGGGCTTGAACCACCAGCCTTCTGGTTAGCAGTCAAATGCCTTAGGCACTATGCCACCAGAGCCCCAAAAGATATGGAAGCATTAGTCAATGAATCAGACAACATACTGCACTGGGAAAATCTGCTGCAAAAGATCTATTTAAAGTGCTGACGAGCAAAGATGTCTCTTTGAAGACCAAGGTGTGCCTAACTCAAGCCATGGTATTTTCAATTGCCTCATATGTATGTGAAAGCTGGACAATGAGTAAGAGAGACCGAAGAAGAGTTGATGCTTATGAGTTGTGGTGTTGGCAAAGAATACTGAAAGTACCATGGATTGCCAGAATGAACAAATCTGTCCTGGAAGAAGTGCTGCTCCTTGGAAGCGAGAATGGCCAGACTTTGTCTCACCTACTTTGGTAATGTTGTCAGAAGGGACCATTCCCTGGAGAAGGATATCATGCTTAGTAAAGTGGAGGGTCAGTGAAAAAGGGGAAGGCTCTCAACGAGATGAACTGACAGACTGGATGCAATGATGGGCTCAGGTATACCAAGGATTGTGAGGCTGGTGTTGGACCAGGCAGCATTTTGTTCTGTTGTACATAGGGTCACTAAGAGTCAGAGTCAACTTGATGGCACCTAACAACAACAACAAAAGATATACAAGGAAAAGCCTCATTCTTAGCCCATTCCCCCATTTCTCCTCTCTGAAGATAACCAATGTTACTGTTTCTTGTGTATCTTTCCAGAAGTATTTTATTCATTTACAAAAAAATGCATATAAATATTATTTTCCCTGTTTTGCACAAAAGGTAGCATGATATGCTGTTATATAACTTCCATTTTTCATTTAGCAATATATCTTAAAGATCATTCCGTATTAATACATAAAGCCCCTCATCATTCTTTTTTATGGCTTCATTATATGACTATATTTTTTAAAAAAGGGAATAGGAATACTTCTATTGGTATGAGAATTTGTAAACACTTAAAAGTAATTTACAGAAAAATATAAATATTTCATAAGCTTACTTTCAATTTCAGTTATAAAACTGAATTATTAAGAAATCATGAAATAAGATTTTGCTATTTTTTAATATATCTCTAAACCAAGAAAAAAAAAAAAAAAGCAAACTCACTGCCATCGAGTTGGTTCCGACTCATAGCAACCTGTCCTTGGGTTTCTGAGGCTGTATCTCTATGGAAGTAGATTGCCCAGTCTTCCTTCCGAGGAGTGGCTGGTGGGTTTGAACCATCAGCCTTCTGGTTAGCAGTCAAATTTAGGTATTAGAAAAATTATTTAAAAAATATTAGGTACTGAAGTCACTATAATAAGTGCAACTTGAATGTTCATTATAAAAGTGCCAGTTAAAACTGTTCTGTGAAAAATACCCATGATTCTGGAAAATAACATGAGTACCTGTTATTGTCTATCATGGGCAAAAATATGCTACCAGAAAGAACACTGAAATCATATATTTATATTTGCTTTGAGAAAATATAATTTATACATTTAAGAAATAAACCTTAGAAGGTGAAACTTCGAGCCAAGATTTATCCAACCATTCATGAGGATCTCTCTTGGAAGTCATTAAATGGTGGTCAGCAATTTGTCGAATTATCAATGCAGTCTCTTCTATTCCTGGTGCAATTAGAAGCTAAAATATATATTTTCATGTTAGATTATGGGAAACATTAGGGAGCAAAACAGATGATTCAAAATTAGTTCATAGTTCAAACAACAATTAAATCAACTGATTATGACTTTTAAACAATATTTAAGATATAATTTATTATCTATGTGAAATCCAGGATATTTTATTTGAGGGTAACCAATTTTCTTTCCTTCTTTAAATATGATATCTTTGTAGTTTCAACTTTTGAAACTAAATTGTTTTTCTTCACTTTAATTTGGCTTTTAATAATAAGATCTTTTAAATATATTTGCTGTTTTATTTCATCTATATTAGAAGAAATAGCAATTTGATTATCACTAGTGATATTTAACTTCTCCTATTTCTAGGTAAAACCTATTAGTTCTCAACGAAAAATAAAACATTTCTTAATTCCAAGATTTTTTTTAAAAAGTCAAATGAAAAAAGGATATAATGAATTTAATGCTGTATATAAAAATAAGGTTTTGATTTAGAGTTGTAATTTCCGGTATAGGGGGAATTGTTATAGCCAATCTTGGATTATTTGATTCTAAGGTACCCCTGGCGAAAATGTGTCTATGTGTCTGTGTGTATATTAATCTTAACTCTAAACGCCAATTTTTTTTAAAAAAATTATATTTTGTTGTATTTTTGGTAGAAGTGTACATAGTAAAATAGATTCCCATTCAACAATTTCTACACATATTATAAAAAACAATTTCTCAACATTCTCTCTTTCTTGTATGTCATGAGTATTCTGCTCAGTGCTTTCTGTCTTCCAAAATACTAGCCTTTGTCTTCCCCTATTGTACTTTCTCTTCATCTTTTAGATTTGGTCAAGGAAAGATGGTTCATAGGTTAGCAGTTTAATGTGTATAGAGAAATGCTGCTCTAAGCTATGAGGTCTTAGAGATGTAAATATCCTATCTAGTAGAGGAAACTTAAGGAACAAAGACTGTACCAACCTCACAAAATAATTAAAATTTTTTCTCTCACTGGAATAACAAATACAAAATTTAGTATACACTTGGAGAGCATAAGTATTCTAAAGAAAGATTTCCTTTAAATTATATTAAATATATTCATAGAGGGCCCAGAAACATTTTATTTCCAAATTTATTTTATAGCTAACTTTTGGATGTTTTGAGAAGTCTGACATTTTCATTTAAATATAAGTTTTATTTTAAAAGCAAGATTTTATGATCATCATAATGAATGTTATTTTAATTTATTGGGACAAGGATTCTGAGGTTCATGGCTAGACTTTACGGGACCTAAAACCCCTTAAAATTGTTTTTAAAATTTTGTGTATGTGTGTACTTACACATTTTTCTACAAAGAGCATTTGTAAGACATCTATAGAACTTTTTGATATTATAATAACATTTAGCATAACAATATTAGCACTATACCTACTCCACTTATCTGCTATCTCATTATTCATCATTTTGCATTATAACAATAGTAAAAAATCTACTCTGCGACTCTTTTGCACATTAATGACGTATGTCTGGCAGTAACAAACACTGAGGAGTGACGTGAAAGTAATGCTGTGATGGTTAAGGTTATGTGTCAACTTGGGTTGGCAATGATTCTCAGTGGTTTGGCAGTTATGTAATGATGTAATGTGGTAATTATGTAATGATATAGTCACCGTGCATTTTGTGATCTGATGTGGTCATCCTCCATTTTTTGCACAACAGCAATTTTTCATATAATGACCTGGTCTTTGAAAACTAACCATGTAGATTAAGTGAGGAGTGGGTATACTTTAGTTTAAGAAAACTAAATGTATTTATTTAAATTTATTTAAATGTATTTAAGCTTCTTAATACTTCCTCTATGGTTTGGCTCTTCAGATGCCTACGAATAAAAAGGTCCAAACAGTAGGAAGTGAGAATAGAAAAGTGTTGATCCCTGAATTTAGAGGAATGTCTGAATTTCAGCACAGAACACTGAAAATAGGAAAAGAAAGGAGACTGTTTGGAGACCACTCAGGTAATGCTCTATTCATATGTTTAAGATTTCCATTTTACAGCAGATGAAAACTTAGTACATCTTTCATAAGTGATTATTTTTTGATCAAGGGATACTTATTTTTATTCATATCTTTTCATGTTTCAAAAAACATCTAAATTATAATCAAGAAATAAAAAATGTTAACTTTATTAAAGATTTTTAGAATAGAAGTGTAAGTGGTAAGAATATTTATTAATTTAAAACTGTTCTTAATGGAACAACTACAATGGAAATAATGAGAATGCTCACAGTTATAAAGAATGTAACCAATGTCCCTGAACAATTAGTGTAGAAATTTTTGCCTGAGAACATAAACTGCCATGTAAACCTCCACTGAAAACACAATAAAATATTATTTGAAAACAAAAACTATTCTTTATTTGGCTTTTAAGCAGTTTTCAATTTGCCTACTTAATGTTTCTTCTTACTGGGAACTTGTGTTTCAGTATAATTTTGATTTATGAAAAATACTTATAAACAGATAGCATAAGAATACCTTTACATCCAGTTCTTCAGATTTTAAGCCAAATGAAATCAAAGCTGAATAAATCAGTGCTAGGTGATGAAGTGTCTTTTCTGTAAGGTGATACCTAAAAAGAATTATGTTACTATAGAGTCATACCTCATTTTACTGTGCTTCACAGATACTGCATTTTTTTACAAATTGAAGGTTTGTGGCAACACTGCATTGAGCAAGTCTATTGGCGCCATTTTCCAACAGCATGTGCTCACTTGGTGTCTCTGTGTCACGTTTTGGTCATTCTCATAGTACTCAAACTTTTTCATAATGCTATTACACACCTAATAGACTACAGTATAGGGCAAACATAACTTTTATATGCACTGGGAAGCCAAAAAGTTTGTCTGACTTGCTTTCTTGCAATATTTGCTTTATTTCAGTGTTCTGGAACTGAATCCACAATATATGCTGAGGTATGTCTGTATGTTTACTCATCTGACATCTGATTGTAGTTATTATAAATTCATTGTCTTCTATATTTCATAATGTCATTACAATAACCTAGCTAAGACAATATTAACACTAATGTGGCATACTCATGCTTTTTTTTCCTACTCAGCACCTTTTTGAAAACTATTTCTACCTGCACTCTAATAATACTGTTAAATCTATGGGATGCTGGGAGGTGCATGGTGTGGGAAAGCAGTTTAACTACTTCATGGCTCCACGAAACCAAACCAAACCCCCTGTCCTCAAGTTGATTCTGACTCACAGTGACCCTAAAGGACAGAGAGTATAACTGCCCCATAGAGTTTCTAAGCTTGTAAATCTTTAAGGAAGCAGACTGCCACATCTTTCTCCCATGGAGCGGCTGCTCGGTTTGAACTGCCAACAATTAAATTAGCAGTTAAGCACTGTAACCACTGTGCCACTAGGGCTCCAGGGATGGCTCTGTAACTGAAGCCTAGCTAATGAGAATATTGTGTCCCCCTGGCCAAAATAACAGTTCCAGATATGTGTACATGACCAAAGCCAGACTAACTGGAATCCTCCCTGGAGCTTTTTTCCTGTACTCTTACAAAAAAACCACTTTCACCCCCTTTTATGGTTATTAAGCAGGCAGGATATAAGCAGGCAGTGGGTGCTTATTCCTACTATTTTATGCAAAAAGCTTGCCTGAGAAAGAAGCCAACATGGAGCAAAGAAGAGCCAAGAAACAGAGATATCCATTGTCACAATGAGTCCCTGGATCCAGCCATACCTTCCCCTGGTTTTTTAGTAACATGATCCAAGAAATTCCATTTTTGTTGTTTAGACTAGTTAAAGTAGGTTTCTGTCAATTCCAACTAGCGGAGTTCAAATACAACTAGTTTCTAAGATTAATGCACTATTTCTCACTTATCGACTACCTTATTATCCAACACTTGTATTTATAACATTGGTTAAAATTTACTATCTGGCCATTTTCCACATTAACAGTGTCCATCTGGTAGTGACAAATGCCAGTGTGCAAAGTAACACTGGCTGTGACTGTTAAGATTATGTATCACCTTAACTAGGCCATGATTCTCAGTGGTTTGGCAGTTATGTAATGATACAGTCATCCTCCATCTGTGATCTGGTGTGGTCATCCTCCATTTTCACATAATGCCAATATTTGCATAACAACCTACTCTTTGGAACCTAGCCCCATAGATAAGTGAGGAGTAGGTGCATTATGTAAGTAGTCCTGTAAAGAAAAATCTAACAAATGTTCCACTACTTCTGTTATAATGGAAAATATAAAAGTGGTCTGAAATTGTTCATTCAGCAGATAGACAGTTATAATCATGTTTTGAACCTAAAGGTGCCTCATATAAAAAGGATTCAATGAAGCATAATTGTAGGTAATGTCCCTAAGGATATCTTTAATCTTTTTTTTCAGATGCTGAACTATTTTGAGGAGGAACCTCAATACTGTTTTACAATGCCCTTGAATTATACATGTCCCCTGTACAGAAAAGAGGTGACATAGCAAGCCTGAGACTACTATCCTTGTTAAGGCTACTGTAAAGTTGGCCCTTGGCTACTTTCTGGGACCTTGGATTTCAGGAGTTATCACCATTGTCTGACAAGAGTAGCTTACTGTGCCTAACTGCGTATGCAAAACATTTGGTTTCTGCTGAACACCTGCTTTACTTCTGCAATGAGATTTTTTTTAATTGTATAATTAATTTTTAATGAAAAATTTGTGTATAAATAAATTTTGAGTCCCTCCTTGTTTTTTCCTGTACTTCAGCTGTACCACTAGAATTGTAGGTGGATGTTTTTGTTGTTGTTCACTGCTATCAAGTTGATTCGACTCATAGGGACCCTTCCTTGGGTTTCCGAGGTGGTATCTCTATAGAAGCAAACTGCCCAATCTTCCTTCTGAGGAGTGGCTGGTGGGTTTGAACTGCCAGCCTTCTGATTAGCAGTCAAATGCCTTAGGCACTGTGCCAAAACTTTTTAAAATTTTCTAATCTATTTATTTATCCAGAACACTTCCAAGGAACTTTAAATGCTTCGTAAGTCATCAGAATTATTATTTTTATTTTCAGTTCTGGTAGAAAGGGAAAAACTAGGTTATTTGACTTATTGGAGGTTACTTGCTAATAGAAGAATGAATAAGAAAGTATTTAGATTCTTTCTTAAACAAGGAAGTCAATAAGGGAAAAATCACACAATTAATGTCAAAGAAAATGTCTGCATCTTTTCTAAAAATTAAAGAATATTTTAAAACTTCTACTATGACTGATATATGTATCAGTCTGTACCAAGACCAAACCAAACGCACTGCCATCGAGTCGGATCTGACTCATAGCAACCCCTCCTTGGGTTTCCGAGGTGGTATCACTACAGAAGTAGATTGCCTATCAGTCTGTTGGGATATAAAAAATATGAGTAAGACTAGTTTGTGCTTTATAGGAGAGATTCATTGATCTAACCTAGGAATATTTACCAATTACTTATCATCTAAAAGAAATATGCTTCAAGGAGACAGCTCAGGGGGCAGGAGTGCATGCGAGGGAAGGACACAGGAAAGAGGTAACTATGGGGAGGACGAAGGAGGGGAGCTGTTGCATTGTGGGAAACTGCAGTCAATGTCAGGAGACAGTGTATGTGAGCTGCTGTATGGAAAATGAATTTGCTCTGTAAACTTTCACCCAAATCACAATAAAAATTTAAAAATAAATAAATAAAAGCAGTGTGCTTAATGCTATAGGATAAGTACTACAAAGAGTACTACAAAATAAAATGTGATTAAAACAAAAAAGAGAGCTAAGAAATTCAAAGGATGGAAAGGCCATGCCTCAATACCTGCTTGTGTGAATGAGTAGGGTGTTGAGGAAAGCTGCATAGAAAAAGTGCTATCCGGGGATGGGACCTGAAGGACAGACACAGTTTCACCAGATTAAATAGCTGGAGGAAGTAGAAAACATTGCAGGAAGAAATGTATGAGTAAAAGTGCAAGTGGGAAAGCAAGGAGCATGTTTGCAACCCAATGAGCAGTTCTTTTGGTTGAAGTGGAAAGCAGTGAACATTGTTAAGTCTGAAAATATAGGTTGAGATTATATTGTGAGGACCTTGAATATTAGGATGAGTACTTTGTGTGCATTCAGTAGATAATGGAGAAGTCAGTGAAAGTTTTTTGTTGTTGTTTAAATTTTATTTGATCAGAGTGAAATAATTAAGAGCTCTGCTAGTGCTGTGGTTATTGGGCTGCTGACCAAAAGGTCAGCAGTTTGAACCTACCAGCTGCTCCATGGGAGAAAGATGAGACAGATGAGGCAGTTTGCTTCCATAAGGATTTACAGCCCTGGAAACCCTATGGGGTGGTTTTACTCTGTCCTTTAGGGTCAATATGAGTCGGAATTGACTCAATGGTGTGGGCTTAGGGTTTTTTTTTTTTTTTTTTTTTAATGACAGATTATGGAGAAGAGCATTGAGAGGCATCTTGAAGTAGGAAAACAGTTAGCAGTTTGTTATAGTATTCCTCATAAAATAACAAGAATCTGAACTAAGATACTGGTAATGCAAATGGAAGGGAAGGGAGAGATGGAAGAGAAAGTCCGTTGATGAGATCTAGAGGATCTGTTTCCCAGCCTCAGTGATTAGAAGAAAGGCAGTGTCATAAATAGGTAAAGGGCAGATGAGAGGAGACACAGGTATGGAAGGGACAGAAAACAGGCTGAATTGCTGTTTGAATGTGTTAAATTAGAGACCTGTAGAATACCAAGGTAGAAATATTTAATAGGGTGAGATGCATGTCAGAATTCCAAAATGAGACCGCAGCTGCAGGAAGAAATGTAATAATTATATGCAAAGAGATGATGGCTGAAGCTATGGGAGTAGGCAGGATTTTTAGTGGATAAAATGGAATAAAGAAGAGAACTCATAACAGGAATACTTGGAAACCAGGACAAGAAGGAAGAGGTACATACAGAGGCGTAGAGAGGCAGACGATCAAGTGTCATGGAACTAAAGAATTTTAAGAAAGCAAGCCCTGACAGCAATAGTAAATACTTCATAGCAATCAAATAAAAATATCTTTGAAGGTGACCATAAGAAAGTCATGAGTGACTCTGAGAGACAGAGATCAAGCACAAAGGAAGGTCAAAAAGTAAAAGGATAAAGTGGAAGCAGTGCTTTAAAAAAGTTTAGAGGTGAGGAAGAGGAGAGACATATAATCATAACTCAAGCCAGTGTCTTGGCATGGATTTCTTGTAATTTTTCAGATGAGCACATCAATGAAGGAAAGCATAAAATGCTAATTAACTGTATATTTAATAACTAGATGGAATTATTTAAGAATGATTCATCTTTTAGCAGATTTATCTTTTAGTCTAGAATTACAGAGTAATAGTCAGTGAAACACTTAAAGAAGTAATTCTTAATGAGGTGGGGGTAAGTAAGGATTTGCATAGGATGTCCAGGGAAATATGTATCATCTCCACATTCCAATTTGTTTTCCTATGGGCATGTCTACATTTCCTTGAGATTCCTTGACTTAAACTAGATGACCAAGCAGAAAATTTTCTATTCAAAGAAGAAGATTAAATAACAAGAAATAGGAACATGACTTTGGGTGAAAAATGTTTACATACTCTGTATCCAGTGTTTTCTTAGAATATAAAATTATCCAACAATAGCTGTACTGGAATGATAATGCCATTAGTCTCATGATGATATTGTCTGATGCCTTCTCATAATTCATTTCTTCCAGATCCTGCCAGAAAATAAAAAAAACAAAAAATTAAGTTATGAAACTATTGTTTCTATCTCTCAAGAATCCATGATATGTGAATAACTTGAGAAGAGTCAGGGGTTTGGGCTCCCATTTCATGGGAAATTAAAATCACACTGCAAGTATTGGCAAGAAAGCTACAGTAGACATAAAACAGGTAATGATAACTTCAGCAAGGGGGCTCATGGATCTTCTGTGGTCCTAGATATGGAGAAACCAGACTACAGGTACCCCCATTTGGGCAATGTCCTTTGTGAACAGGGATCTGGTTATTCCTAAAGGCAAGAGAAAACATATTCAAAGACATATGGGATAATTCTCACTGCATGCATACTTAAGGATGATTAAGAAAGCAGCAGTTATTGACTTCCCAGGAATATCTACCTAATGGTCTCTATCCCTTTTTCCTTTACCATTAATCTAGACTTGCACATTACCATAACATTTGCCATTCATTTATACTTTAAGACATTAACCCTGATTGCTACTTCCCACTCCTAACCTATCAACTTAATTGCTTTGTACTTGGCACTCCAATAGAGAAAACATACAGAGATTGCGTTAAGACTTTATAAATCTTAATTACCAATTTGCATGGATTTTTTTAAAGAGAATTTCTCTGTCTTTTCAAAAACAAGATTAATTAGAGGCAATATTGACTTATGTTCTAATTTCACCATATTGCCAATCACCAATTAATGTTGTTAGCTGCCATCAAGTTGGCCCCTGATTCATTGAGACCCCACACATAACAGGATCAAACCATTATGATCCATAGACTTTTTATTGCCTAATTTTTTGAAAGCAGATCACCAGGCCTTCCTTCTTAGTCTGTCTTCGTGTTGAAGCTCTTTTGAAATCTGCTCAACATTATTAGCACTATGCAAGCCTCTACTGACAGACAAAGAAGCTCTGGTGGTGCAGTGCTTAAGGCATCTGACTGCTAACCAGAAGACTGGTGGTTCAAACCCACAAGCTGCTCCACAGAAGGAAGACGGGGCAATCTGCTTCCGTAAAGATTTACCACCTTGGGAAGCCAATGGGAGTCCCTGTCAGAATCCACTTGATGGCAGTGGATCTGGTTTCTGACAGACAGGTGGCTATACTTGAAGTACACTGCCAGAAATCAAACCTGGGCGCCTGCACGGAGGTCAAGAATTATACCACTGAACACCACTGTCCTCATCAATTAATGTATTACCCCCAATTAAGAAACACCAAAACCAGAAAACTAAGCCCACTGCCATCTAGTCAATTCCAACTCATAGCAACTCTATAGAACTGAGTAGAACTGCCCCATAGGGTTTCCAAGGCTGTAAATCTTTACAGAAGCAGACTGCCTCATCTTTGTCCCATGGAGTGGCTGGCGAGTTCAAACTGCTGACTTTTTGGTTAGCAGCTGAATATTTTAACTTTTTAAAGGAGTGCCACAAGAGCTCCTTATTAAGAAACACAGTGGCAAATGTACTTTATAGTTCTCTTGGCTTTGACTCTGTGCTAGAGCACTGTCGTTCTTTTCCTCTACATTGAAAGGTGTATTTATCCTTTTAAATGTATTCAAAAGATCAGCACATTTTAATTGGTGGAAAAAAAAAAACCAACATAGTGGCTGAAATTTGATATTTTAAAACTTTCAATATTATAATTATTCTGTGAATATATTTTAAAACAGGTCAGTACAATAATAAAGATAAAATATTGGTTTGTCTTCTTAAAGTGTGTTAAGAATTATAAGGCAGCAAAGAAGCTTGGCAATAGTCATTTTCCAAAGTGATGATTTTAGCACTTATGGCCCATTTGCTCAACTGCTAACTGATGGGTCAGTGGCTCAAAACGACCAGCCATTCTGCAGGAGAAATATGTGGCAATCTACTTCCCTACATACTGTTGTTGTTATGTGCCCTCGAGTCAGACCCAACTCATAGCAATCCCTCCTTGGGTTTCCGAGGCAGTATCACTACGGAAGTAGATTGCCCCATCTTCCTTCCGAGGAGTGGCTGGTGGGTTTGAACCGGCAGCCCTCTGGTTAGCAGTCCAGTGCCTTAGGCACTATGCTACCAGAGCTCCCTAAATACTAGAACCTAGGAAAACCCTATGGGCAGTTCTACTCAGTTCTAAAGGGTCCCCAAGAGTTAGAATTGACTAATTGGCAATGGGTTACAGGCCCATTTGCAAAGTTTTAGAAGAAATAGAGAAAAGTTAAAAATAAATTACATGGGTTTATATTTTAAAATATATTTGAATTTATATTTTTTTATTGTATAGTTTTACCTGTAAAAGTATGGCAGTGTGTTCATCAACCGTCACCACTACATAATACTCTACACCCCCAAAGAGTTTCAATGACTCACTGCACCTTCTCTCCACTAGTGTGATATTATAGCTGTAAAATACAACATTCTTAGATGAAATAATGAAATGGTTAAGAAATATTCTTCAAGAAAGCTGTACTGTCCTCCTGCATATTAAATTATTTGAATTACTGTGTTTTTTCTTTCATACATAAACTTAATCTACTTTATAAATTTGAAGACTAAATTATAATTTAGTCAACATAAAAAATAAACTAATTATATATTGCTTTAGGTATTCTGCTAAATATTACTGCAAAGATTACTATTATAAACTTTTTGACCACTTTACTCCAGTTCTTTAACTAAAATTCATGAAATCTAAACATTGTTATGAAACTAAAAAATTTTTCAAATATCAGAATTTTTAGTTTCCATTAAAATTAGCCAACATTTCTTTCTTTTTTTTAAATTTTATTTTGATTTGGGTGAAGATTTACAGAGTAAATTCACTTTTCATACAGCAGTTCACATATACTTTGTCTCATGTCATTGACCAAAATT